TATTCATTGACAAAGTGTGAAAGATCGTAAGAATCAACAAGCTTCACTTTACGAGCCTCAGCGTGTCCCTTGAGATGGTTCCATGCGTCCAGTACTTCCTTCTCTTTGCTCTTCACTTGCTTGGCAGCTTGAGGATAAGACCTGCTCAACGCACCACTTTCAACAGTAACACTCTTAACCTAACAATGATGATAATAAATAATATTATGAAAATAATAAAGAATAAATTATTCACATGTGATTGATCATTATGTATGTTAAAAGGTACAGTAAATTATTAATAATTATACATGCTCATGACTAGTAATACACATGTGCAAAAATCACCAAAATAAAGAATTAAAATTAAAAGCATCATAAAATAACAAATAAAATGATAATAATAAAACAAAATACAATCAATGAATATGTGAATTACTTTTTCTTCCAGTGCATCAAGATCCCTCTCCAGTCCCTCGTGCTTCCTCTGGAGTGCCTGGACGCTGGCAAGGTCACGCCCATAATCATCAGAGAGAGCTGACGTGGACTTCTCATTCATCCAGAGTTTGGTCTCATCGGCGGCTCGTATGAACTTCTGTACATTATAGGCCTCCTCAAGCTGGTGCTTCCTAGAGGCTGTGGATTGGACTAATGTCTCCCAGAGAGAATTTAAATCCTATAAAGTAAAAAGTGGGTAAATATCATATTATATATGCTACATAAATAATAGCAGCAGTCAAAAATAATACTGGTACTGGTAGCACAATGTGTTATTATATTAATAATATTATTATTATTGTATCATTAGTATTATACACATACATGTATATACATGTATAATGTAAAAATGGGAAGGCATGTGGGTTTATATGTAAGTAGAGTAAAAAAATGAATAAAAATTGGGTCAATAAATATAACAAAAATACTCAATTAATATCATATTCATATATATCCTTACCTCTAGTTCTCCTTGTATTTCTTCAGCATCAGTATGTCCTTCTTGTACCATTCCTTCAGCCATTGTTGTTATGCTTGTGAGTTTGGCCTCGTTAGATGTCAGTTCGGCTTGAAAGCTCTCAAACTTCTTCTTTAGAGCCTCGACATGTTCAAGATCCTTCCCAGCCTCTTCAGAACTAACAAATGCGGCCTGAGAGGGCATTAATTAGAAGAATAAAAGATAAATCAGATAAAGATGAAGGATGGGTGTATAGTGATTATAAGTTCAGATTAAAGTATTGTTGTGCTTACTTTGTCAGTTATCCAGTGTTTCAGTTCATTCAGTTCACGGCTTAAAACAAACCTCTTCTTTGACTCTTCAAGCCTTTGCCTCCTGTCATCAGCTAGCCTCTCTAAGTTAGCATATCTGAAGAGAGAGAGAGGAGAGAAAGAGGGTGAGGGAGAGAGAGAAAGAGAGAGGGGGGGGGGAGAGAGAGAGGGGGGAGGGAGAGGACAGGAAGAAGAGAGAAAGAGAGAGAGAGTGAGAGGGAGAGAGGGGGAAAGAGAGGGAGGGAGAAAGAGAGGGAGAGAAAGAGAGAGAGAGTGAAGCAATGTACTACATTACTTCTTTCCTTACTTTCTCTTAACTCTAGCTTGTCTGTCAACCACACTCTCTTGTGGACCAGTTTCCATGGCCACATTAAAGGAGACCCTCCTTTGTAGAGAAGCATTACCAGCTAGCCCCACAGCAACAGAAGGAGAGACCTTCTTCACATAATTAGCAGGAAGGAAACCTTGCTTCCCTCCTGATGTTTCTACCTTCCACCATTCCTATAGTGAACACATATTCACGTAATAATACCAATTTTAAAACATGCTTCATGAAAATATGCTTTTGTTCATGTACATGTATGTACATGAACAAACTTAGCTTTTAGTGGAAACCGTTAAATGTTAAATTAATGCATTTTGTATACAGCATTACAAAATAGTAAGTACATGATTCATGTATGAAGGTATCACCGTAAGGTACATATCTCCAACTTACTTTGTTTGATGAGTTTATCAGTGCTAGTATTTCTCCTTTCTTGACGCTCACTTCCCTGGCACTGTGGGCTCCATAGCTGTAGACTGCTTTAACGTAAGTCTTCTCTGACTCACCTGCTCCTGGCCCTAGACTCACATCACTCACTGTATCCTGTAGAATATGAATCATGTATTGATACTGGTATTGTTGTTATTGTTATTATTATTACTATTTAAACTGGTTGAGATATACATGTACATGTACATGTAAATCTAGTATAATTGTCATTAATAATGCATTGTTATTATTATTATTATTATTATTATTATTATTATTATTATTATTATTATTATTCACTATTAAATTAGGTCATGTGACTCTCATGTGACTTACTTGACACTTGGCACTCTGTGCTGACAATGCTTCAATGGTGCTGCCAAACCCTTTGACATCGGCAAAGACCGTCTCATGCTTCTTTAATAAAGCCTAAAGGAAATAGGAGAGAGAGATTGAGAAGAAAGAAAACAACAGTAAGAGGACAAATAAATCGTATTTGATAAAAAAGAGTCGCCCACAGATTAGTACAATGCACATTATGTATAATACTTCCTCTTTCTCCCACTCTTGCACATGTACATGATTGTACATGTACTCGTACAGTCTACATGTACATGTACTCTCTCCTTACTTCAGCCATGTCTTCATCTTTCCCATAGTCAGAGCTACCAACCACTGGCTCAATGTCTTTCATCCATAGCTCGGCTGCCAGGGCATCAGAGAAATACTTCTGAGCTTCATAGGAATCCTCAAGAACCTGCTTTCGTGACTCTGCAGTTTCCTGTGAAAGAGAGAGAGAAAAAAGAGAATACATGTACATCTATACTGTATACTGTATAGCAGAGATATCTCGTGCTATTATGAGTACTGCACTTTATTTAGTTATCTAAAGACTTATTTTTAA